AAAAAAAAAAAAAAAAAGTTTAGGTTAGGTTAACCGAGCTGGAAGTGATAATTGTCTAACTTCGCGCGAAACACGTAATGACAGTTATATGTATTCGCGGGATGAAAGTGAATTTTTCAGCCTACGACGAGCCAAACTTGGTAGCATACTGTTGAAACGCGTTCCAACAATTCCAACTGGTAAATCATTCAATCGTGGTGGTCGCTCCAGATTTTCAAGCTTGCACGCGAGAACAATGCAGATCGGTGTTTCACCATTCCGGGATTATTAGCTTCCTCTCGGCTTTGCGAAAGAAAAACCGAACCTGAAACATTTGAAACTGACAGTCGTGGTTCTTCGAATATCTTACCAACTGTTTCAACTTTCTGGTTTTCATATTTGTATAATTATGCATAATCACAGCTTAGGAGCTAGACGCGGTTGCTGCCTATTATACACTGAAGTTTCACCAATTTGTTTCCTATGTTTTAGAAAGAAAGTATCAATACACACGCAATTGTGTATCAATATAAACGCGATAAATATCACGTGCTGGTAGAAGAAGGATGTTTGAAATGTTTCAAAGATGCAACGGCAAACAGAGGATCGAAGTATTTTAGAAATTCATATTTGCACACGCAGATGGTTGACTCATGGGCGAATATCTGTGGTCTGCTTTCTAAACTTCTCCTAAAAACGTTTCTTCTTCGATATTTGGGTTATATGCCCTGGTAAAAAGATTTACGAAAGACAAACGATTGCTTCACGTTCCTGGAAACGATGTCTCTGAACAGAAGTAGAACTAGATCTTTTTTTTTTTTTTTATTCACCTGTTCTTTATTCATATTCATGTTCATTGTTCTTGGCATAGAAAACTAATAGAAATTTCATGAAAGATAAAAGCACAAATATTTTCTTTTAAATTTACATCTATAGACGGTTATTATGAGTATTTCTTTCATTTAGAATAAATGTATCGCATTGCTTCATCCTTCATTTTTCTTATGCATCAATTCATTCAAAAATATTTACACCTACTGTCTGAAGTAATAGGCAATGGGTAATTGGTTTAAATCTTTCCACGTAATCTCTTCTTCTTACCTAGCATGTCTCTATTTTAAATTGTAATCGACAATGATCCAGGGAACGGCAACCATTATACAAGATGAAAGTTTATCCTTCTCACTTTATGCACGATATGTATCTTTCGAGTTTGTGATATCTTTTCAGTAGCACAATTTTGTTGCTGTTTTACCAATGGATGGTACATACGAATTTTCTTTAAAGTAACGAATTTTACCGATAATTATTCGGAAGAATAGAAATAATTTTGTGAAGAGATAAGGATTGTTAAAACATCAATTTTTAAGAAGAAAAAGGATAGAGAAAGTCAGAAAATTCTTAAGAAATATAAAACTCACTTTCAGGAACACTGAATGAGAAACGTGTTACTTTATCCGGAACACGTGTAGTCATCTAGAAACACATTTCCAATGTCACGATGTATATACGATCCTAACTGTTTCTTATCTGTAAAATCAAATGTTCACTGCATAACTTTCAAGAGATAATTACATTCTTCTAACTTCAAAATCTCTCGTTTGTCTTCGATTTTTCGTTCGTGCCGTTTCTCAAGAGTGAAAGGTGTGTTCGCGGTGAATTCATATTACACGTACGCGCGTTTACGCACGTTCGCATGTCCATATAAACAAACATTATCACGTTACCTAATCCATCCGTCTGCCATCCATTATCAATGAATGAGATCCCATCATGATTTTCACTAATTAAAGTGTCGATTAAAGCGAATCGGTTCGTCAAAATCATTTTTAATCTCTGACAAATGAACTACCTATTAACAGAGAAATTTCTTAATTGTCAATTGTTAAATCGGTAGTTCTCTCAAGTACGTTTTACTTAATAGAAGTTCTAAATTTTTGAACACTGTTGAAAATGATCTTTAACATGTTTTGCGTGGTCTTCAATGCACGTTGAACTTACCATTCAAGTCTCTGACATTTTCAACGGATGTCGAATAAGTATAATAGCACGTGCACTTATTAGCAAAACGTACGTGCGATTTGAAAAGAAAATGCGTAAAGACACTTGACTTGCGTATTTTTGACAATTTATTTCTCATTCGCAGACGAGGCTTTAACAAACCTTTC